CGCCTTGCTATGCTTGGTCACTTACCATCACACCTATGTCAGAGGGTTGAGGTATATATTATTGTTTAGAGGTATTGTACGCATGTATGCAGTAAGAATGCTTGGGTGTGGTTTGTTGTGATTGAGATACTGTTGCGATGTGACAGGCTTATATGCTCATGTACAGCTGGGAGACTGAGTGACAGGGAACTGTATGCTGCCGAGAGACAGTGGTGGTTGCCTAAATGAGGGGGAAGAGGAGGGGGGGTGTAATAGAATGTTTTGTTATAGGAGACAGCATTGAACGTTGCCCTATTAAGGGCTCATCTCTGATTGGAGGTTAATGAGATAGGATTATATACACATATACGGATTACGGGGTTATTTTTCAAACTGTTCATACTGTGTACCTTGTGTGTGGTGAGAGGAAGCATATATCAACTTATTGTTTAATGTCACTTTATTTTATGTAAAAATTTATATATGTTTGGTTTTGTTTCATTTAAAGTTTATATTAATTTAGGTCACAACCCTGGTACTGTTTTTGTTAAGTGCTATGTTCTTGATGCAAGTTTTTTATGTATGGTTTACAGTTACATATACAGAGTTTATACATGCAAGTTTTGTAGCATTTTTTTGTTACGTATGTTCAGGAGTGGGTAGTAAATCGTTTAGTTATAAGGATGGTGTATTTCTTGTATATAGCTTCATGTTTAGTGATTTCAGTCAATCATGTATGATTACATGTATATTGTATACCTGTGCTCTAAATAAAACATACAAAATTAGGGGATGAATAGCTACGGAATGTTTAGGTACATAAAATGCTAATATTACAATGTAAAGTAAGAGGTCAAAGCATTAGTTTATATATAAAAACTTTTGTATATACAGTTTCCATACAAGATATGAATACAAATGTCAGGTTTGGCTAGTAGCAATTTTATTATGTATGTTCAGGGGTAGATTGTCATACGTTAGTTATAAGGATGTTTTCTTATAAATGGTTTCATGTATTGTTATTACGTCAATGTGTGATATGCATGTATACTGTATACTTTAAATAAAATAAAAAAATAAAATAAAAAAAAATAACACTAACCTACGGAGGATGCATCTTCACCTTTTTCGTCTCTGCCACCTACATTATCCACCACAATCAATCCTTCAGATCAACTTTCCTCCCCTCCCTGAAAATGCTATTCAAATTCAAAGTTTATTCTCTATAAAGATTACAATGTTGAATTTACAGAATTTGGTTGTTGTGTGGTTTACATGTAGTTAAATAATGATTACAGAGTGTACCACTAGAACGCCTAGCATGGCTAGGCATTTCGGGCAGACTTAGTTTAATTCTTTGTTTTAAAATATTACAAATTATGAGGTAAGTTGGTATTATGGCTAAGTGACTAAATACTAGTTTGTGAGTTTAGCAATGTGAATGCTTTTGCCCTGGCACAGTACATAGTTTCAGTATTGGAGTATCATAGGCTTCATTATTTTAAGATTGAGATTAATATTTCTGTTTATGGTCAAATGGGTGAGTGAGTGTAAGTGTGAACCACCAGGTGGTATTCGTGTAGTTAGTTGATGGGGTGTATCAGGGAGATAAGATGTTTTCTAATGGTAGTTTTGAAGGTGATGAATGTGTCTGCAGTTCCATAGTTCTCAGGTAGGGTGTTCCAGATTTTAGGGCCTTTGACACACATTGAATTTTTGTAAAGGTTTAGTCGGACACGGGGAATGTCGTAGAGATGTTTGTGTCTGGTGTTATGCCTGTGGGTTCTGTCACAACTATCAAGAAGCGTTTTAGGTCAAGGTTGATATTGGAGTTTAAGGTCCTGTAGATGTAGATTGCACATAAATAAGTGTGGATGTACTGAACAGGGAGTAAGTTTTAGATCTATGAAAAGTGGGGGTGTGTTGCCAGGGATGGGATTTAGTGATTATTCTTACTGCAGCTTTTTGTGGGTTATTATGGCTTTTTGGTGTGTTGCTGCAGTTGATCCCAAGCACAAATAGCATAGGTGAGGTATGGATAAATAAGTGAGTGGTATATGTGAGAAGGGCATTTTGCGGCACGTAGTAAACGTAAACTTTGGGGAGGATCCCAAACCCTTTTGGATACTATTTGGTTATGTGTTGGATATGGGGGCTGAAATTCAGGTTGTTGTCAAGGTATAGGCCTAGGAATTTGCCCTCATTATGTCTGGTAATTAGAGTGTTGTCGATCTTAAAAGTTAATTTTTTGCATCTCCTTTCTCGCTACCAAACAAAATATAGTAGGTTTGTCAGTGTTAAGCGTAAGTTTATTGGCTGTCATCCAAGTCGTATTTGATCAGCTCCTCGTTAACAATGGTGTTGAGGGTGGCAAGATTAGGGTGAGAGATGACATAAGTCGTGTCGTCAGCAAAGAGAATGGGTTTCAGGTGTTTGGAAAACGTTTGGAAGATCATTGATGAATAGAGGAAGAGCAGGGGACCAAGGACACTTCCCCTGCGGAACCCAGTATCAAGTGGCCGTGTTGTTGATGCGTGTCTTTAATGGTGACATACTGATACCTATTATAAGGTAAATTTGAAATAAGCAAGCGCATGGCCTCTTATACCATAATGGTCAAGTTTGTGGATAGGATGTCGTGGTCTACTGTGTCAAAAGCTTTTCTTAGGTCAATAAAATTCCTATGGATATTCCTTATTTTCCAAAGCTGTGAAAGCAGATCTAGCATTTTTATGATTGCTCATTAGCGCTTTTATTTTCCTGAATCCAAATTGGCAGGGGTTGAGTATGTTTTGTGTTGTTATAAATGAATATAGTCTCCTGTGGGACGAGTTTCTCAAAGATTTTGGATAGCAATGGTAAGTTTGATATTGGCCTATAGTTGTTTAAGTCTGTAGGGTCTCCACCTTTATGTATTGGTGTAACCCTTGCCATCTTGAGTAGTTTCGGGAAGGTGCTAGTTTCTAGTGACTTATTAAAAAGTAATGAAATAGCATGCGAAAGGATATGGGCCACTCGCTTGTACAGTAATGGTGGGACATTAGACAGATTCCCTGAGTTGTTTTTAAGTGACTTTATAATCTCGGTGACTTCCGAGGGCTCAGTTGGTGCAAGATAGAAGGAATTTGGGAAATTCCCATCTAGGTAATAAAACACAACATACACTCTCTCCACACACCCATCCTAGAATACCTCCAACATGGAACACAAATCTCTTGACATATACACAATACACTCTTGCACAAATCAAAGAGGACCAAACCGTCCCATCCCACCTCTAAATGACTGAAAATACTGGACCGGACAAAAACGCCTGGCTGGCTAAAATGTTTCTAGAATAAAGATACCCCAAATGTTGCACAAATGTTTTTCTAAACTATTTATTCACATCTTGCATGACACAGCAATATCCTGGAATCTTGGTGCAGGTATTTCTTCAAAACTTGTTAACCTATAGGCATGACCTACTTCCACTAGTGGTTTTGTCCACTGGTGACTCCGCCTATCACTGCTCCATCTCATCTGTCATCAGTATATAAGCTCCATCTCCACAAATATGCTGCACTTTTAGTAAGAATGATGGACGGAACATATCGACTCCAGGCTGAGAGACTGACTACCACAAACTCCTCTTCATCTTCAACCTTTCTCTGCATTGGACTAAAGAAACCACTGGCTGGCAAAACGTTTCTAGAACAAAGATACCCAAATGTTGCACAAGTGTCTCATTTAATTACCCAGGATAACCCAAAAATTCAGTGACTTACATTCATTGAGGTCCACTATTGGAACCGCCCTTCCCATTCTACCATTAATCACTCCTATCTCAAAATTTCTTCCCTGAACTCTTGTTAAAGGAATACTCTACTCAAAGTTCGCTGCTCCACTGAATCATATCCTCCCCACCAATCCTCCAATCGAGGGATAAACAATATCATTAATAATGGAATAATTTGGAAATTCACAGTGTAACCTGTTCCTCAGAACCTTAGCAGAGATTTTAATTATCGCAAAATAACGAAATAGACTGATAAACATACATCACCATCTGTTCCTTACCCCTTGATACAAGCACAGTCAAGGTTGTCTCCTATACTGGATTCAGCTAACCCTTGTATATCATGACGGTGGTAATTTAATATTTTTATTATACATCCCATACACACCCTGTGGACGGTAGTTAAAAGATTCCAGTAGCACAGAGTGGGTCCAGGGACTGTACCTCATCATTACGAGGCACATAATTGGTCTAGGAACTGTATCTCAACATTACAGAGGCACATAATGAGTCCAGGGACTAAACCTCAACATTACAGAGGCACATGAGTCCAGGGACTGTACCTCAACATTGTAGAGGCCCATAATAGGTCCAGAGATTGGGCCACAAAGTTTTGAAAGCTAAACATTGCATCACGGTCATAAGCGCACCAAAAATTCCTTCAACTAGACATGTTTTAATCGCTGTTTGATCCCAGTATTCCATAACACCAGTCAGTCCCCTATACTTCAATATAAGCGACTGGAATAGTGCAGAGTGCAGCAAAAATTGATAATGTAGTTGAATATTAGTGTTGAAGATTTGAAGGGAATCATAAGAGGCATTCACACGTCATCAAATGGAAATTAATATCCAAATTTCTTTAATAAAAATGGTAAACTGGGATATACAAAGCCCAAATATAATTGAAAACTTTCAAAGAGTAGCAAGAAAAATTTGCACTTTCTAAAATTTTTGATTACAGTATATACACAATAAGATAAACATCTTTTAGGTTATATATACTGAAAGATTATTTATATTTTTTGTATGGATTAGGGTTTTCATGATGTTAACATACAGGTTAAAATAAAAATTTATATATAATCATTTACAAGATAGTAGATTTTACATTCCATGTATATCAGTACATCAGTGTTAAAAATCACTGCAGTTATTTATTGCTCAGCTGGAGTAATATTAGACTATTAGGAGAGTATATTAAATTTATTAATATAAAGTTTTACACTGTGGGTGTCTGAGTGTTGACAAACGTTGCAGCAGCAGCAGCAGCAGCAGTGACAACAACATGGTCAGTCATCATTAACGGGGAGATATATTAACTTATTTAACTTTCAAGGAGGTTATTTTGTTGCCGACAAAGAGTGTTTGATCCGAGGAATTTGAAATACACACCCCCTTTCTTATATCGAATGTTATTACCTCCAATTTTCGAGGCTTTCTTGTCCCCAGGACAGCGCTGTTTGACCCTCGGGTTTAGCGCCAAATTTGATTATAATAATATTAATTCCCCTCAGAAGAGGTGCCTTGGTGCCGGTTAGGGGCTCTTGATCCGAGGAAGTTAACTTATCTTCTTCTTCCTTGGATCGAGCCTGAATGCGTCATTCCTCACGTGATACACGACTCGTAATATTTTAGCGCTCTCCCCTGAATGAAGTGTGAAATTCCCAGGAGCTCTATGATCCTGAAAGCCTTTAAGAGTGGTGCCTTGATGTACATGATGGGCTCTTTATCCAAGGAAATTTACCTATCCTTGGATTGAACCCGATTGCCTCCCTCTCCTTATGTATTGTATGACCCCAGTATGTCAAAAAAATACAAAAATTCAATGTATGTCAAAGGCCCTAAAATCTGGAACACCCTACCTGAGAACTCTAGAACTGCAGACACATTCATCACCTTCAAAACTACCATTAGAAAACATCTTATCTCCCTGATACACCCCGTCAACTAACTACACGAATACCACCTGGTGGTTCACACTTACACTCACTCACCCATTTGACCATAAACAGAAATATTAATCTCAATCTTAAAATAATGAATCCTGTGATACTCCAATACTGAAACTATGTACTGTGCCAAAACAAAAGCATTCACATTGCTAAACTCACAAACTAGTATTTAGTCACTTAGCCATAATACCAACTTACCTCATAATTTGTAATATTTTAAAATTAAGAATTAAACTAAGTCTGCCCGAAATGCCTAGCCATGCTAGGTGTTCTAGTGGTACACTCTGTAATCATTATTTTACTACATGTAAACCACACAATAACCAAATTCTGTAAACTCAGCATTGTAATCCTTATAGAGAATAAACTTTGAATTGAATTAAATGTACTAGTAATAATTAGTTTATTCGGTTAAGTGATTGATTAAATTCCCTTCAGGGAAGGTTTATTGATTGGCAGTGAAGGGCTCTTGATCCAGGGAATTTGATCTCTCCATCTTCTTGGACCAAATATGATGCTTCCATTACCCACATACTGTATGGTTCCCTACGGGTTTAGAATGTCTCTATGAGTGTGTATGTATAAATGGCATATATTTAATATCAAGAATGTTATACATTTATCTGATACAGACAACAAGGGCCTGGCTGGCAAAGCTCTGACTTCACACATGGAGAGTCCAGGTTGGATTCCTGGCAGGGTGGAAACATTTCGACACCTTTCCTTACACCTGTTGTCCAGTTCACCTAGCAGCAAATAGGTACCTGGGTGTTAGTTGACTGGTGTCGGTCACATCCTGGGGGACAAGATGGAGGATCAGAATGAAAATAAGACCGACAGTCCTCGATGACGCACTGCCTTTCTTGGGTTATTCTGGGTGGCTAACCCTCCGGGGTTAAAAATCCCACCAAAATCTTAACTGGATTTAAATGCTTTTTTAAGAATTGTAGTTTTATTTTAGGAGGCCTGGTCACAGACTGGGCCGCAGGGGCGTTGACCCCCGGAACTCTCTCCAGGTAAACTCCAGGTAAGTCATCATTAAATGTCACTCTTATATTCTGTACTATAATGACTGTGCAGTATGCACGTTATTTTTTAATATGAAATTACCTGTACTTTAATTACCTTTACTTGCCCACCTAAATGAAGTGTTAAACCTCATAGAGCAGAGGCAGCATGTTTGGCTTACAATTGATATTACCAGAGGCCAAACCCTGAGTGAGGCAGGATGTGTAGTCATACTCATATTGCTTGGTGCCCATTTAACTAGCAGTAAATAAATGACGAAGTTAATTGACTGTTATGCCTAAAGTAACAATGGTAGGCAGTTTAAAAAGTGATGTGTTAAAATATAGGTAAATTTCAACTGTATAAGCACTACAATTCACCTTGTGATTTGCCATTCATCTTGCCCCTCCCAGGAATTGAACCTTAAGTTCTTTTGATTGTAGGCTGAAAGCCCTATCTCTGAGCTACGGGTCACTGGCTTACACCAACATATCTTCTTTATCAATTTGCATTGAGTTCAGCTGCCACAAGAATATTTAGCCAAAATACAAAAATTTTATTTTCTTAAAAACTACAGTCCTTATTGGCCTTGGTAACAAAAATTAATACCACTACTTACTCAAAAATTTTACATGCCAGTATGTAGTTGAAATTGTATTATGTAACAAGATTTTTATCACAGCATTACTTATTGATCTTTAATTTACTGTCAACAGTTGCCTCTATCTCTACTGAAGACAGCCCAAAACCACCCTATGTTGGTGGAGTTGAAGAATGGAGAAACATACAACGGTAATCTTGTTTCTTGCGACAACTGGATGAACATTAATCTTAAAGATGTCATCTGTACCTCACGGGTGAGTTGAATAAGCAGTGTGTGTGTAATCAACATACCATATAGAATATACAGCCTTTCCTCACTTTACGATGGAGTTCCATTCCTAAGACCAGGTCGGTAAACGAATTCGTCACTAAGCAAAGACTATGCTGTGTAATGGTAGTGGGTTTGTGTCAGCCATTTTTTATATTGTTTTAATGTCACCTTTTATAACATTTTAAGTATACAGTGGAGCCTCAAATATCGAACTTTCTTTGGTCCAGAAGACTGTTCGAGTGCCTTTACCGAATGAATTTATTCCCATCAGGAATAAAGTAAATTAGATTAGTCCATTTCAGACCCTCAAAAATACACTTATAAAAGCACTTACAAAAATACACTTACATAATTGGTCATGTTGGGAGCAGTTCGATTTTTGAGGTTCCACTGTATTATAAAATGTTTATACAGCAGTGCACTGTATATTGTCATAAACAGAATAAAGGAAATCAGCTTTAATATACATTATTTAGGTATGCATACTGGTCAGAGAACCAGTCGTAAGTCCAAGTCATTGGAAAATGAGTACGTCGCTAAGTGAGGGGAGGTTGTACTTGTATATACAGTGGACCCCCGGATAACGATATTTTTTCATTCCAGAAGTATGTTCAGGTGCCAGTACTGACCGAATTTGTTCCCATAAGGAATATTGTGAAGTAGATTAGTCCATTTCAGACCCCCAAACGTACACGTACAAATGCACTTACATAAATACACTTACATAACTGGTCGCATTGGGAGGTGATCGTTAAGCAGGGGTCCACTGTATATATTCTGCATATACTACTTGTATAATGGTAAAAGTGTAATTAACACTTTAATTAATATGCATTTGCCTAACTAGTATTTAAATTAGCTACATTTTATTTAGCCCCATATTTAAAAAATGCAATAAACTATTGTCTTTGCAATACTGGTAACAAGGGTCACATAAAAGACATACATATTGGTTTTCTAACTTTATTTTTTGAGGAATGGGGGTAGCATTTTATTTGACAAAAAATATAGTGTATAAATTTTAAAAATTATGAACCTTGCTATATTTAGGATGGTGACAAATTCTGGAGGATGCCCGAGTGCTATATCCGAGGTTCCACCATTAAATATTTGAGACTGCCTGATGAAGTAATTGACCTTGTCAAGGAAGAAGTAGTGGCTCGTGGACGTGGCCGAGGTGAAAGCAGAGGCCGTGGAGGACCTGGACGTGGTCGTGGTGGTCCTGGTAGAGGTGAGTACAGAAACTACAAGAGGGCCCCACTTATATGGCAGGTTAGGTTCCAGGCTACTGCTATAAAGTGAAAATCACTGTAAAGTGAAACATAGCCTTTTTTTCATTTTCAAATGCATATAAAAGCCTGATAACATGATTACACTATCATATGTTAACCCGTAAACAGTCCAAACATATATATACGTTTTTTCAACATTTGAAAGTATGTAAAAAAGTAGATCTTCTTTCTGTTTTTTTACATTTGAAAATGTGTAAAAAACTTTGATCTACTGGGCATGTCATTTATTGCCTCTTCAAAGTCTTGTGAATAATATCCGAGATTTTTGGGATGACCAGATTTTGGGTTTTGTTCATAAAGAATTCATTTGGATTGTCAACCCTTAGAGTGGGCAGTGGCTCACTAAATACTGAGTCATATTGGGACTTTAGTCTCTCACTCATTTCTTGGCTATCATCTGTGTATGTCCCATCCCGCCTAAGCAGGGGCCCAATGCCGGATGTTGTTTTTCCCTTAGATTTGGGATAAGAGAAGAAGCATTTTGGGTTTTTTCAATTTCCTTTATGGCTTTTAGTTCTTCCTGTGATTCTTGTCTCCTATAAGATTCCTTCAGCTTAAGTTCAATATTTGCAATTTCATTGACTAGTGCCTCCCTTCGTATTTCAGATATATTGACCCCACTCAGCAGCTACATGACTCTTCGCCTTCATCTTTATAGGGAACGTCTCTCTCTTTCTAGTTTACATCTTCTCTTTCTTTTTCTTAATGGAATGTGTCTTGAGCAAATCTCAAGAACCACAGAATTCATTTTTTCAAGGCAAATGTTCGGATCTGTGTTTAGGATATCTTCCCAGCTTGTTTCACTTAGGACATGGTTTACTTGATCCCATTGTATGTTTTTGTTATTGAAACTGAATTTCGTGAAGAGACCTTCATGACTGCTCACATTTTGCTGGTCCGGAGCCCTATGCATACATGTCTGTACCTCTATTATGTTGTGATCTGAGTGAATTGACTTTGATACAGTTATATTACATATCAGATTGTCATTGCTAGTGAAGATGAGGTCCAGCGTATTTTCTAGTCTTGTAGGCTCTACTATTTGCTGGTTTGAGGTGAATTTGTTGCAGAGATTTAATAGTTTGTGTGTGTGTGAATTTTCATCTGAGCTGCCTCCTGGAGTGATCTCTGCTAAAACTTTGTTTGCTATACTCCTCCATTTTAGGTGTCTCAGGTTGAAATCTCCTAGTAGTAAGATGTTTGGGGCAGGAGTTGGGAGAGTTTCCAGACAGTGGTCAATTTTCTCAAGCTGCTCCTGGAATTGCTGGGAAGTTGCATCTGGAGGCTTATATACTACCACAATGACAATGCAAACACATTTAGGCTACAATCCTAAAACTATCCTTAATGGGGCATAGTCTAAAGTAAGCATAGTTGGGTCTGACTCAGGAGTAAGTTCATTTGGGTCAGTAACAAATGAAGGATTTCATTCTGGCTTAAGCGAGGATTTCAGTCTTGGGGGATTAAAAATTAAAATTTTTTATTATTATTATCACACTGGCCGATTCCCACCAAGGCAGGGTGGCCCGAAAAAGAAAAACTTTCACCATCATTCACTCCATCACTGTCTTGCCAGAAGGGTGCTTTACACTACAGTTTTTAAACTGCAACATTAACACCCCTCCTTCAGAGTGCAGGCACTGTACTTCCCATCTCCAGGACTCAAGTGCCGATTTCCCTGAACCCCTTCATAAATGTTACTTTGCTCACACTCCAACAGCACGTCAAGTATTAAAAACCATTTGTCTCCATTCACTCCTATCAAACACGCTCACGCATGCCTGCTGGAAGTCCAAGCCCCTCGCACACAAAACCTCCTTTACCCCCTCTCTCCAACCTTTCCTAGGCCGACCCCTACCTCGCCTTCCTTCCACTACAGACTGATACACTCTTGAAGTCATTCTGTTTCGCTCCATTCTCTCTACATGTCCAAACCACCTCAACAACCCTTCCTCAGCCCTCTGGACAACAGTTTTGGTAATCCCGCACCTCCTCCTAACTTCCAAACTACGAATTCTCTGCATTATATTCACACCACACATTGCCCTCAGACATGACATCTCCACTGCCTTCAGCCTTCTCCTCAAAGAAATAATCTTTAAAGACATTATTATTAGTATGTATATAAAATTTTTTGATCTTTTGTGGTCATGGTCAGTATAATAGTGAAATTTAGCCATTAATTGAAAAAAAAAAAAAGGATTTGCCTCTTGGCAAATTGACTATGCCAATGATTTTGCTCTTACTCTAGAGTAAGTGTATCTGGATCTTATTCTGAAGTAAATGTATTTGGGACTGGAATAAGTTGATAGTAGGTTTACAGTCTTAGACAAATTAAGTACAATATGAGGATTCCAAAATTCTCTATGTATCATAATCTATGTAACTGTATTTGTGTTAACCTGAATAAACTTACTTACTGACTCAGGGTGGGCCTTGGGGTGGAGAGAGGGAGAAAATAGAAGTAGTTAGATACACATTCACTAGTTCTGGTTTATAACAAGTGTACCTCAGTCCTGACGAAGACTGGCTGGCTGGTTAGTGGAGGAGCGGGAATAAAAGGGAGGAGAATTATGATTGAATTTTGAATTTAACTTTTTCTCATTTGTTTTTTGGTTAATTGCATTTACCAGGTATATTTAGTATATATTTTACTGGGAAATTATTTCCCAGTAAAAGTAGGCCTTAGACAAGGATGTGTGATGTCACCGTGGTTGTTTAATATATTTATAGATGGGGTTGTAAGAGAAGTAAATGCGAGGGTCTTGACAAGAGGCGTGGAGTTAAAAGATAAAGAATCACACACAAAGTGGGAGTTGTCACAGCTGCTCTTTGCTGATGACACTGTGGTCTTGGGAGATTCTGAAGAGAAGTTGCAGAGATTGGTGGATGAATTTGGTAGGGTGTGCAAAAGAAGAAAATTAAAGGTGAATACAGGAAAGAGTAAGGTTATGAGGATAACAAAAAGATTAGGTGATGAAAGATTGAATATCAGATTGGAGGGAGAGAGTATGGAGGAGGTGAATGTATTCAGATATTTGGGAAATGGACGTGTCAGCGGATGGGTCTATGAAAGATGAGGTGAATCATAGAATTGATGAGGGAAAAAGAGTGAGTGGTGCACTTAGGAGTCTGTGGAGACAAAGAACTTTGTCCTTGGAGGCAAAGAGGGGAATGTATGAGAGTATAGTTTTTACCAACGCTCTTATATGGGTGTGAAGCATGGGTGATGAATGTTGCAGCGAGGAGAAGGCTGGAGGCAGTGGAGATGTCTTGTCTGAGGGCAATGTGTGGTGTGAATATAATGCAGAGAATTCGTAGTTTGGAAGTTAGGAGGAGGTGCGGGATTACCAAAACTGTTGTCCAGAGGGCTGAGGAAGGGTTGTTGAGGTGGTTCGGACATGTAGAGAGAATGGAGCGAAACAGAATGACTTCAAGAGTGTATCAGTCTGTAGTGGAAGGAAGGCGGGGTAGGGGTCGGCCTAGGAAAAGTTGGAGAGAGGGGGTAAAAGAGGTTTTGTGTGCGAGGGGCTTGGACTTCCAGCAGGTATGCATGAGCGTGTTTGATAGGAGTGAATGGAGACAAATGGTTTTTAATACTTGACGTGCTGTTGGAGTGTGAGCAAAGTAACATTTATGAAGGGGTTCAGGGAAACTGGCACTTGAGTCCTGGAGATGGGAAGTACAGTGCCTGCACTCTGAAGGAGGGGTGTTAATGTTGCAGTTTAAAAACTGTAGTGTAAAGCACCCTTCTGGCAAGACAGTGATGGAGTGAATGATGGTGAAAGTTTTTCTTTTTTGGGCCACCCTGCCTTGGTGGGATTCGGCCAGTGTGATAATAAAAAAAAAAAAAATTTAGTATTGTTGGGGATTTTCTTTCTTTTTGGGTCACCCTGCCTCGGTGGAAGACGGCCGACTTGTTAAAAAAAAAAATTAGTATATGGTTGTTTCATACCTGTTTGGTATGTTATTTATTTTTTTTTTTAAGTTAAGAAATGTGGAATGTTTTCCCCTAATTTTGTATTCTACAGGGATTATGATTGAATTTTTTATTGTATTTTTCTGTTTTTTTTTTTATCACATTCATTTCTTTATTGTTCATGTATGGTAAGCTTTTTGTTTTTTGTTTGTTAAGTACACGTTTATTTATAGGATTTAAGAGAGAGAGATTTCGTTCGGATTTTTAACCCCAGAGGGTTAGCCACCCAGGATAACCCAAGAAAGTCAGTGCGTCATCGAGGACTGTCTAACTTATTTCCATTGGGGTCCTTAATCTTGTCCCCCAGGATGCGACCCACACCAGTCGACTAACACCCAGGTACCTATTTGCTACTAGGTGAACAGGACAACAGGTGTAAGGAAACGTGTCGAAATGTTTCCACCCGCCGGGAATCGAACCCGGGCCCTCCGTGTGTGAAGCGGGAGCTTTAGCCACCAGGCCACCGGGCCACACTCATCTGAGTTTTCTTTGATTTTATCTTAATAGTTCTTGGTCTTATTACTTTTCCTTTTATATCCATGGGGAAGTGGAATAAGAATCTTTCCTCCGTAAGCTATGCGTGTTGTAAAAGTCAACTAAAATGCCGGGAACAATGGGCTAGTAACCCCTTTTCCTGTAAAGATTACTAAAAAGAATAAGAAGAAGAAAATTGTCAAAGTGGGAAGTCTGAACGTGCGTGGATGTTGTGCAAATGATAAGAAAGAGATGATTGTGGATGTTATGAATGAGAAGAAACTGGATATCCTGGCTTTAAGTGAAACAAAGCTGAAGGGGGTGGGAGAGTTTCAATGGAGAGGAATAAATGGGATTAGGTCAGGGGTTTCAAATAGAGTTAGAGCTAAAGAAGGAGTAGCAATAATGTTGAAGGATAAGTTATGGCAGGAAAAGAGGGACTACAAATGTATAAATTCAAGGATTATGTGGAGTAAAATAAAGATTGGATGTGAAAAGTGGGTTATAGTAAGTGTGTATGCACCTGGAGAAGAGAGAAGTGTAGAGGAGAGAGAGAGATTCTGGGAAATGTTGAGTGAATGCGTGGGGAGTTTTGAATCAAGTGTGAGAGTAATGGTGGTTGGGGATTTCAATGCTAAAGTGGGTAAAAATGTTATGGAGGGAGTAGTAGGTAAATTTGGGGTGCCAGGGGTAAATGTAAATGGGGAGCCTTTAATTGAGCTATGTGTAGAAAGAAATTTGGTACTAAGTAATACATATTTTATGAAAAAGAGGATAAATAAATATACAAGGTATGATGTAGCACGTAATGAAAGTAGTTTGTTAGATTATGTATTGGTGGATAAAAGGTTGATGGGTAGACTCCAGGATGTACATGTTTATAGAGGGGCAACTGATATATCGGATCATTATTTAGTTGTAGCTACAGTTAGAGTAAGAGGTAGATGGGAAAAGAGGAAGGTGGCAACAACAAGTAAGAGGGAGGTGAAAGTGTATAAACTAAGGGAGGAGGAAGTTCGGGAGAGATATAAGCGACTATTGGCAGAAAGGTGGGCTAGTGCAAAGATGAGTAGTGGGGGGTTGAAGAGGGTTGGAATAGTTTTAAAAATGCAGTATTAGAATGTGGGGCAGAAGTTTGTGGTTATAGGAGGGTGGGGGCAGGAGGAAAGAGGAGTGATTGGTGGAATGATGAAGTAAAGGGTGTGATAAAAGAGAAAAAGGTAGCTTATGAGAGGTTTTTACAAAGCAGAAGTGTTATAAGAAGAGCAGAGTATATGGAGAGTAAAAGAAAGGTGAAGAGAGTGGTGAGAGAGTGCAAAAGGAGAGCAGATGATAGAGTGGGAGACGCACTGTCAAGAAATTTTAATGAAAATAAGAAAAAATTTTGGAGTGAGTTAAACAAGTTAAGAAAGCCTAGGGAAAGTATGGATTTGTCAGTTAAAAACAGAGTAGGGGAGTTAGTAGATGGGAGAGGGAGGTATTAGGTAGATGGCGAGAATATTTTGAGGAACTTTTAAATGTTGAGGAAGAAAGGGAGGTGGTAATTTCATGCACTGGCCAGGGAGGTATACCATCTTTTAGGAGTGAAGAAGAGCAGAATGTAAGTGTGGTGGAGGTACGTGAGGCATTACGTAGAATGAAAGGGGGTAAAGCAGCTGGAACTGATGGGATCATGACAGAAATGTTAAAAGCAGGGGTGGATATAGTGTTGGAGTGGTTGGTACTTTTGTTTAATAAATGTATGAAAGAGGGGAAGGTACCTAGGGATTGGCGGAGAGCATGTATAGTCCCTTTATATAAAGGGAAAGGGGACAAAAGAGATTGTAAAAATTATAGAGGAATAAGTTTACTGAGTATACCAGGAAAAGTATACGGTAGGGTTATAATTGAAAGAATTAGAGGTAAGACAGAATGTAGGATTGCGGATGAGCAGGGAGGCTTCAGAGTGGGTAGGGGATGTGTAGATCAAGTGTTTACATTTAAGCATATATGTGAACAGTATTTAGATAAAGGTAGGGAAGTTTTTATTGCATTTATGGATTTAGAAAAGGCATATGATAGAGTGGATAGAGGAGCAATGTGGCAGATGTTGCAAGTATATGGAATAGGTGGTAAGTTACTAAATGCTGTAAAGAGCTTTTATGAGGATAGTGAGGCTCAGGTTAGGGTGTGTAGAAGAGAGGGAGATTACTTCCCGGTAAAAGTAGGTCTTAGACAGGGATGTTAATGTCACCATGGTTGTTTAATATATTTATAGATGGGGTTGTAAAAGAAGTAAATGCTAGGGTGTTCGGGAGAGGGGTGGGATTAAATTATGGGGAATCAAATTCAAAATGGGAATTGACACAGTTACTTTTTGCTGATGATACTGTGCTTATGGGAGATTCTAAAGAAAAATTGCAAAGGTTAGTGGATGAGTTTGAGAATGTGTGTAAAGGTAGAAAGTTGAAAGTGAACATAGAAAAGAGTAAGGTGATGAGGGTATCAAATGATTTAGATAAAGAAAAGTTGGATATCAAATTGGGGAGGAAGAGTATGGAAGAAGTGAATGTTTTCAGATACTTGGGAGTTGACGTGTCGGCGGATGGATTTATGAAGGATGAGGTTAATCATAGAATTGATGAGGGAAAAAAGGTGAGTGGTGTGTTGAGGTATATGTGGAGTCAAAAAACGTTATCTATGGAGGCAAAGAAGGGAATGTATGAAAGTATAGTAGTACCAACACTCTTATATGGATGTGAAGCTTGGGTGGTAAATGCAGCAGCGAGGAGACGGTTGGAGGCAGTGGAGATGTCCTGTCTAAGGGCAATGTGTGGTGTAAATATTATGCAGAAAATTCGGAGTGTGGAAATTAGGAGGTGTGGAGTTAATAAAAGTATTAGTCAGAGGGCAGAAGAGGGGTTGAGGTGGTTTGGGTCATTTAGAGAGAATGGATCAAAGTAGAATGGCATGGAAAGCATATAAATCTATAGGGGAAGGAAGGAGGGTAGGGGTCGTCCTCAAAAGGGGTTTGGGAAAGAGGGGGTAAAGGAGGTTTTGTGGGCGAGGGGCTTGGACTTCCAGCAAGCGTGCATGAGCATGTTAGATAGGAGTGGATGGAGACGAATGATACTTGGGACCTGATGATCTGTTGGAGTGTGAGCAGGGTAATATTTAGTGAAGGGATTCAGGGAAACCGGTTATTTTCATATAGTCGGACTTGAGTCCTGGAAATGGGAAGTACAATGCCTGCACTTTAAAGGAGGGGTTTGGGATATTGGCAGTTTGGAGGGATTTGTTGTGTATCTTTATGCGTACATGTATATGCTTCTAAACTGTTGTATTCTGAGCACCTCTGCAAAAGCAGTGATAATGTGTGAGTGTGGTGAAAGTGTTGAATGATGATGAAAGTATTTTCTTTTTTGGGGATTTTCTTTCGTTTTTGGGTCACCCTGCCTCGGTGGGAGGCGGCCGACTTGTTGAAAAAAAAAAAAAAAGTACTGGTCAAAAGGATGGAATATGTAAAGTCTCAGAATAAATCCCCATGTTTTACATGTTTTAGTGGGTTCGCTTTATATGACGCAAGTCAGGAATGAATCTATTGCTTAGTACAAGGAATATCTAAACATAATTTTTTGTAATTTAAAAGAATGTACACTCATCAGCACAATGCTATCCATCATTATGTGAAGTTGTATTGGCTGTATCTTTCATCTGCTGATTCAGAGAAACGTGCTGCTGCACTTGTCAGTACTTGCCTGGGGACCAGTCCACTAACAAAAGCCACAAGTATCACAGCTTATAACATATTAAAATACAGCCTCTCCTCACTCAGTGACGTACTCCTTTACTGACACCTCGGACTTAAGATGGGCTCTCTGACCAGTATTTATACCTAAATAATGTACTATATTAGAGCTGATTTCCTCAATTCTGTTTATTACAATATACAGTACACTGCTGTATAAACATTTAAAATATACCAGAAATGTTATAAATGGTGTAAAGGTGATATTAAAACAATATCAAGGATGGTTGACACAAATCCACTACCATTATAGTACATGTATACGCCTCGTTTAGCGACAAATTCATTTAGCAAATTCGTTTACCAGCGGGGTCTTAGGTTTATATCTCCGTCGTTAAGTAAGGAGAGGCTGTACTTTTTAGATTTTGTTAATCTAATTTTCATTGGTATTGAAAAGATGTCTTTATTTCCTGTTGCTATTTCATTGAACAATTTATTTCCAGTATCCTTAACAAGCTTGCTCTGTATAGGTAAGTTTAATTTAACTTACAGTAATTTCAATGAATTGCTTATTTTCTTCACTTGCTAAATATTCATATTCTTTATCTGCTCTAACATTTCAGGTTGCAGCATTATTAATAAATATTTTAGGAAGTGATCTGCTTGACGTACTTTAATCCATAAAGAATGCATTACAACATTTTATATTCAATTTTATACATTAGGTCTTTACTTATTTGGGGTGCAATTTCAAAGTGATGGGTACATTATGTGGCTGTCCCCATAAATTTGCAGAGGGGCAAGGTTTACATTTCTAGAGGTCCCGTGAAACTAGAAATCATGAATTATGTCAAATAAAGTCTTCATAACAAATTTTTGTTTTAGATTTGGGCTCATATTGGGTTTCAGACATCATATCTTTGTAATATTTCACTAATCTGGTTAATATTGACATAAAATATAATAACCAAAATGAAGAAAGAGTTGCTCATGGGAAAGACATTAAACCAGAAAAGCATATTATAATTCAAAATATTCAGTGAAACCACTGGATAATTGAAACCTGAAAATAAGGAAGTCTGTGAATTTGTATGGGCAGCTTTATACGTACTGCATTCGTAATCACGGAAGACTTCACAATAATATACAGGAAAATATTGCATTTTTGTCATCACTTTGAACTCCTTTACTGCATATATTTGCCTCATTTACTTAAATACAAATTATGCACCACATGATGATCTCTGGGAATAATCATTTCAGAAATTCTTAAAGCTGCCATCCATCAAAACTGGGTTTTGATGCAGGCAGTAGTCTGGGAGTTTGGTACCACAGTAATACCTACCTTACAGTGACATCAGTTCTTTAAATTTTGATGATCCCATGGTAAGTTGCTTAATGATAATGTCCATGTGCTACTTAATCAGTGAACACCAGACAAGCCTGGCCCAAGATTGGGCTCTGGGAACAGAAAAACGAAAAACTATTGGAACTCATCAAGGGTGTATCAAAGGTCATTGAACAAAAACCTGTATAAAGAGACCCTTTCCTATTTCACAACAAAGATAGCATGACTACTTATACAGTACTTCAGCATCTTGAACTTTACCTGCTACAGTTCTTTTCTTAATAAGTTTCTTTTAGGAATTAAAATTTTTCTAGTATAGTACATTCACTTTGTTGTTTAGTTACTTAATTTTTATTTTTTTATCTTTATTTTATTTTTATTTTTTTTTTTTTGCTTGACAGGTGGCTTTGGAGGTCGAGGGCGTGGTGGGCCCCCAGGTGTTGGCGGTGGGCGAGGGGGTCCTGGACGTGGTGGCATGAAGAAAAAGGAAGGATTTAAATAGCCTATCATGTTTAGATTGTTTGGAAGGATGTGGAGCACTGGCTATATGCAAATCTAATTGAACAACTTATCATTGTATAGATATTGTATACATATTACAAACTCGTTTTCATTGATTTTGGAATTTAATGTGTGCGATCCAATAATTAGGGTGTGATTGTAGTATTTTCTGCAGTACAATAGCATGTGTTTTTATTTATTGCCTGTGATGTTATAAACATTTTACTTTCCAGTATCTAGCATCATTTTCACTGGACAGTAAAACTTCCTGACAGGTTAAGGTTTTTATGTTGTTGTGAACTAGTCATGAAAGGTGACCAAGCTGGTTTGAGCTTTTTTGTATTTGGTGTAAATGGTTTTATTACAATCCAGTAAAACAAATATTTTTGGTCATTAAATGGTGAATAATCTATTTCATGAAGTTAATACAATAAACATAATGATTTTTTTTCTTTTTTTCAAAAAAAAAAAAAATTCTACGTTGCAAAATATGTACAGATTGTACAGTATGTGTGTATTTTCTAGCAAGAGATAAATACTGTAAGTACAAGTTAATTGTACTTAAATACTTCTCAATGGAATTTCATCCAGTGGCTACTTAAGTAGATAATTTGGCTAAGCTGAATGGATTTATGTAGATACATGTGCTCAAATAAGTGACCTGGTAGTGAAGGACAGTTATATTGTTTTTATGTGGCTTACTTTGTGTGAATTTGTGGTAAAAACTATTTGGGGGCAAATGTTTGGCTTAGCTTATTTTCCAAGTATTATTGTTGTTTTAAATACAGCTCTCCCTTGTTTTATGGGCTAGACTTGTTCCTGGCTCATGGCCCATAAAGTAAAGCCGTTACAACATGTAAAACATAGGGATTGGGTTTGAGACTTCATAGACCTCTATGGGTTTAGTGCTCACTGCTTTGAATGAAATAATAATTATATTAATAATAATGAGACTTCAAGTTCCACATTTCTTGACTAATATTTGCCAAAAACCTGAGCTTATTAAAAACTCATGCACCAAATGGTCATAAACAAAAAAAAAAATTTTTTGTAAAAAACTGAGAGAAAGTAAAATCTGAAATTCAATCATAATCCCTCTACAATACAAACTTTTCAAACAGATCCACATTTCTTTACTTTTACTCAAAAAATCATTATGAGCATATCATATGATCACCAAATGGTTGATCATATGACTGCATATCTTTTGAATAGTACACATCTCTTAGTACTCTTTCCTCGCTATCTCCACCCCTAGACCCAACTTTGTGTCGGCACAACACAACTATGGGCAGCTGGGTGTCTGTTTACTTTTGGCTTGTTACAAGATGCTTAAATTGATACTTAACCCTTTCAGGGTTTCCGACATACTAGTACGTCTTGCGCACCAGGGTTATTGACGTACTAATACGTGTAAATTCTAACGCCTTCAAATCTAGCGAGAGAAAGCTGGTAGGCCTACATATGAAAGAATGGGCCTATGTGGTCAGTGTTCACAGTATAAAAAAAATCCTGCAGCACACAGTGTATAATGAGAAAAAAAAAACTTTGACCATGTTTTTGGTTTAAAACAGCGACTTTGCACCATACTTTCGTATGGTATTTATGGTTGTATTCTAGTTTTCCTGGTTTCATTTTATAGAATGGAAGACATATTACAGAAATTGAGATGATTTTGATTGATTTCACAATGAAAAGTACCTTGAAATTGAGCTCAAAGTAGCAGATATGTTCGATTTTTGCCAAAGTTCAAAAGTAAACAAATCATGCCACGCGTCCAATACATGTCAACTGGTGAGTCTAATATTATTTCACAAGTGTGCTGATATTATTTATACCATTTCTACACTAATGCAGTAGTCTGCATAACAGTAAATCTTCTATTTTTTGTGAGAATAAAAATTCGAAGTAGAAAGCAAAAGAAATGTAAGAGGGGCCTGGGGACGTGACTAATGACAGAAGAAATGTTATTTTAGTGCCAGGAATGTCTGTTTTGTTTATTCTGGACCCTGTTTGGAAATTAGCATTTTTTGAAATTTGTGTGAAATTGGCAAAATTGCCAAATTCTGACCAATTTATTGGATAGTTGAAATCGGTAAATGGGTGGTTTCTTGTACTCATTCGATAGAAAAAATGGAGTTATAGCAAAATAGTTATGATTTTTGTTGATTAGTACACTGGAATTGGCCGAAAATAGGGCTTAGTGGGCGAAATCGCCAATGCGTAAACATCGTCAAGACTGCTAACTTCGCAAGAGCATAATTCCGTACGTTTTCCGTCAAATTTCATACTTTTGGTGTCATTATGATCAGGAAAAGATTATCATTTCAGAAGGTTTTTTTTTTTTTTTTTTTCAAAAAAAATTTTGACCCTGAGAACAAGTTTAGGAGAGGGCCTCTCGACCCTGAAAGGGTTAATGGGATTTTGTTCAAAACATTTTCATTGGCATTCCCACACCCAAATCTGTTTTCTAGTTTATTATGTTTGTCTTATGAAAATAAGCACAGTATAATCCAGCTTGGAGTGATATTTAAGAAATGTTAAAAATTGAATGGTGCTGGTCTTGAGTGATTACACACAAGAGCTAATTTATACCACCTGTAGTGAATTATTCATAGAAATAAGGTTGCCACACATAAGCAGATTTGTACAAAGCAAAACCACATACAGTGAGATACCTGCCTAGATGTTATAAAATGAAGCCAAAATGCTGTATTGTTTGTGATGTGTAATTAGGCAGGTACATATGAATTTCATGTTCCTGTAATTATTTATTGTTACTTATAATGATTTCCCTGAAGAATCAGACCATGTTTAAATGTAGAGAAGTTGTTAAAAAAAAAAACTTAAAAATTAAGAAAAATTCATCATCAGTACCTTTCTCAGTTTTATAAATAAAGGAAAAAATATACTGCTTAGTTTTTGAAGCCCAGCTAGCACAATTGAGCATGAAAAGCTGAACATTGAGGGAGTTAGTGTTAAAGCTGAGTGCATTATTGAAGAATCCATGAGAATGACAAAGAGTGAAGATATTTTTGAAAGGATCATACTCCTACTAAGGTAAAAATACATTTCATAGCTTAGATATAATTTACAGGAGGGCCGTGCTTCTACAGCAGGTTAGGTTCCGGGCTACTGCCTGCAAAGCAAAAATTGCTGTAAAATGCATATAAAAAGCTGACATGTTTAGACTTCGGACCACCCTGCCTTGGTGGGAATCGGCCAGTGTGATAATAATAAAAATAAAATAATAAAAATGTTTAAACTATCATGTATTAAGTGAGCAATAGAGCTAGGCCTAAAAGATTAGCTATCAGATTGGAGGGAGAGAATATGTAGGAGGTGAATGTATTCAGATATTTAGGAGAGGATGTGTCAGCAGATGGGTTTATGAAAGATGAGGTAAGTCATAGAATTGATGAGGGTAAAAAGGTGAGTGGTGCATTTAGGAGTCTGTGGAGACAGGGGAATGTATGAGAGTATAGTTATACCAATGCTCTTATATGGGTGTGAAACATGGGTGGTGAATGTTGCAACATGGAGAAGGCTGGAGGCAGTGGAGATGTCATGTCTGAGGGCAATAAGTGGTGTGAATATAATGCAGAGAATTCGTAGTTTGGAAATTAAGAGGAGGTGCCAGATTACCAAAACTATTATTCAGAGGGCTGAGGAGGGGTTGTTGAGGTGGTTCGGACATGTAGAGAGGGTGGAACAATATATATATAATGACTTCGAGAATGTATAAATCTGTAGTGGAGGGAAGGCGAGGTAGGGGTCAGCCTAGGAGAGGTTGGAGGGAAGGGGTAAAGGAGGTTTTGTGTGCGAGGGACTTTGACTTCCAGTAAGCATGCGTGAGCATGTTAGATAGGAGCGAATGGAGACAAATGGTTTTTAGGACTTGACATGCTGTTGGAGTGTGAGCAAGGTAACATTTATGAAGGGAGTCAGGGAAACTGGCAGGCTGGACTTGACTCCTGGAGATGGGAAGTACAGTGTCTGCACTCTGAAGGAGGAGTGTTAATGTTGCAGTTTTATAACTGTAGTGTAAGCATGCCTCTGGCACGACAGTGATGGAGTGAATGATGAAAGTTTTTCTTTTTTGGGCCACCCTGCCTTGGTGGGAGAAGGCCGATGTGTTAATAAAAATAAAAAATAACATTACACATTACTTACCTTAAAATATTTACATCCTTAGCTTATAGTGAGTGGTGAATATATTTATTGTAGGAAGTCTGAATAAATGAAGAATGGGTATAATTGAAAACAGCTTTATTAGCGAAACCTCGTAAAGCAAAGCGCTGTAAAGCAGGGCCTGCCTGTAAATAGTTTTTCAACATTAACTGTTGGAGATTGGTGATACTTATCTTTTTGTGTACCTTTTGATTGTGTGTTGTTTTTATTACCCTAGTTATGTTAGAACAAAAAAACAAACAATTTTATTTTTATAAAGGTAGTACTGTATAGTATACAATTAGGGTAAGTGACATGCATAAATTGCTTTATAGAAAGTCCCTTCTTATGCAAGATGTGTTATATATGTATACAGTAGCTTCCCACATATTGTACGCCCTATGTGAAATCGTGATATGTAGAGTGAATAACATGAAAAGATAGGGTTATGTTCTTGACATCTCCAAAAATGCCAGATAAACTTTTTTTTTAATTTTATAATTCATCAAAATTAATGAAGTTTCTGATCAACAAGCAATGATGCTTGTTAATGTAGCAATGTGTGCAAAGGGTTGATGAGGTCCTACTAAATATAGTTGGATGTAGTAGCATTTACACAGCCAAAAGCTACAATACTTGTAGCTTAAAAGGTTACATAAAACAATTCTTTCTTAAATTAAATTATTCTTGTCGGCACATGTTTACTTTGGAGTAGAGAGGGTTACTGTGATCTTACCAGACCGAGGTGGGTGGCTGTGGTTCTTGTTAGTTGATGACTGAGCCAGAATGCTCAGGTAATTTGAAATGTGTCTGTTTTTCCTTGCAGTGCTTATACATCTAATGATGAGGTACTGCTTGGTGCAGAACCCACTTCACAGAAATTCTTCTAAATGTGTTAGGTTCTTTTTCAGCTTAAAAAGTCTACAATATTACCAACACCATGCAGCATCTCATGTAAATCATGGAGTGCAAACTGTTGAAGTTCAAGTTCATCTGCCTAATTCTCATCTGTTATTCACCTCCCTTCTAACTGGGAATTTAGCTGCACCATCATTTCTTCTACAGTCTTTTCTTCGTCATATTCTAAAAGTTCATTTACATAATTTTTTTTTCCAGCGAACCAGCTGTATCCCATCGAGATTGGGTGACCTAACAAGAAAAACAAAGGTTTCTCTTTATAAATTTACTAATGTATACAGTAGAAAGGCTTACTAGCCCCTTGCTCCTGGCATTTTAGCCGCCTCTTATGACATGCATGGCTTACAAAGGAAGAATTCTGTTCCACTTCCCCATGGAGATAAAAGGAAATAAACAAGAATAAGAATAGTATTCAGAAAATAGAAGAAAACCCAGAGGGTATGTACAGCCTCTCCTTCGTTTACCAATGTGGTCGGTAAACGAATTCATTGCTAAGTGAGGAACATACTATAATGGTAGTGGGTTTGTGTCAGCCATCTTTGATATTGTTTTAATGTCACTTTTACACCATTTATAACATTTCTGGTATATTTTTAAATGTTTATACAGTAGTGTACTGTTATTTTTTTATTATCACACTGGCCGATTCCCACCAAGGCAGGGTGGCCCGAAAAAGAAAAACTTTCACCATCATTCACTCCATCACTGTCTTGCCAGAAGGGTGCTTTACACTACAGTTTTTAAACTGCAACATTAACACCCCTCCTTCAGAGTGCAGGCACTGTACTTCCCATCTCCAGGACTCAAGTCTGGCCTGCCGGTTTCCCTGAATCCCTTCATAAATGTTACTTTGCTCACACTCCAACAGCACGTCAAGTATTAAAAACCATTTGTCTCCATTCACTCCTATCAAACACGCTCACGCATGCCTGCTGGAAGTCCAAGCCCCTCGCACACAAAACCTCCTTTACCCCCTCCCTCCAACCTTTCCTAGGCCGACCCCTACCCCGCCTTCCTTCCACTACAGACTGATACACTCTTGAAGTCATTCTGTTTCGCTCCATTCTCTCTACATGTCCGAACCACCTCAACAACCCTTCCTCAGCCCTCTGGACAACAGTTTTGGTAATCCCGCACGTCCTCCTAACTTCCAAACTACGAATTCTCTGCATTTATTCACACCACACATTGCCCTCAGACATGACATCTCCACTGCCTCCAGCCTTCTCCTCGCTGCAACATTCATCACCCACGCTTCACACCCATATAAGAGCGTAGGTAAAACTATACTCTCATACATTCCCCTCTTTGCCTCCAAGGACAAAGTTCTTTGTCTCCACAGACTCCTAAGTGCACCACTCACTCTTTTTCCCTCATCAATTCTATGATTCACCTCATCTTTCATAGACCCATCCGCTGACACGTCCACTCCCAAATATCTGAATACGTTCACCTCCTCCATACTCTCTCCCTCCAATCTGATATCCAATCTTGTATATTGTAATAAAGAGAATAGAGGAAATCAGCTCTAATATACATTATTTAGGTATGCATACAGGTCAGAGAGCCCATCATAAGTCTGAGTCATCGGTAAACGAGTACATCGCAGAGTGAGGAGAGGCTGTATATATAGATATATGCATGTGCATGCATGTGTAATGTGACTTGAGTGCAAGTAAAAGTAGTAAGATATACTTGTTATCCCACATTTATGAGACAGAAAAAAAAAGACACCAGCAATCCTGCCATCATATAAAACAATTACAGGTTTCCGTTTCACACTCACTTGGCAGGACGGTAGTACGTACCTCCCTGGGTGGTTGCCATCTATCAGCCTACCTGGCAACCTACCAACCTACCTGGTATTTTTCTTGTCAGATTCACAGTCTCCTGAACCTGACTCTCTCTTGTGGGAAAAAACTGTAAAATTATTCACCTCACCAGGCCATAATCTTCTCCAGCCTGCATTTATTGTTGATTGGTGAGCTTCATCCCATGCAACTTGTATGTTGGCTACTCCATCTGTGATGTTAAATTTATGTAACAACTTTAGCAGCCCAGTGTCTGAGTTGTCATCCACTGCCATGATTAGTTTTGAATGATCTTGCATGTGTAGCAGCACTTCAGTGTCTTAATCACTCTTCGATCCAGTGGTCTTATTAAAGCTGTTGTATTTGGTGGTAAAAACATTACCTGCACATTTGGGTCCAGAGACTGCAAGACTTAAAATTATCAAGAGTTTGGAAAATCTTGAATGAAGGGTTCTTCCTGATTAGGTATCTTCAATGAAGGAATAAAAGAATTCTTGAATCTGTCATAAGCTGGGTCTCACTCGTCCTTGCTGCCTTGTTAGACCCTCAAATAACAGGCAAAGGAATTCTGTTGTTTCCTTTATGAAGCATGGAGAGTCTGGGAGCAATAAATAAGGTTAGGCTTACACTTAAAATCATCTGATGCTTTAGCTCACAGGAGCAAATTAAAACTGTCTTTTGCTGCCTTGAATCTAGGTACACTTTTCTCTTGCTCATGTAAATTCTAGATGGCATCTTCCAATTTAATCCTCTCTTGTCAGCATTAAACACTTGCTCAGGTTTGCAGCCATCTGGCAGGGAAATTACTAGCAACTGCTGGGTCAGTTGATGCACTTTCCCCAATGAAATTTATATTATGCAGGTAACTGTACATTTTAAAATGACTAAACCATCCAAAAGTAAATGAACACACACCTCCAAAGTTTCCATCCTACTCACATACTGTTTTATAGTAGAGTACAATAGTTTCTTCCTTGTTATAAGGACATCTAGTGGAGCATTTTTTTTTTTT